TGGTTATAGCTTCCAATTTTCTTGCTTAGAGATTGTGTGTGTGTGTGTGTGTGTGTGTGTGTGTGTGTGTGTGTGTGTAGAGAGAGAGAGAGAGACAGACAGACAGAGACAGAATGAATTTGTGTTGTGTTGCTCACTGGCAAAATTAGAAAAGACGGCTTGATAACACGAGGACATTCATTAAGAGTCAGAACTGGATTGCACATTTACAATGAAAGCTAGACGAGAACAGTCTAGTCATTCTAGGGCTATCTATCTGTTTCAATATACTGGGGTGAGCACATAGATGGAGGCTCCTCCCTTTGTTGGGGAGGCTGGTGATCCTCACCTAAAGCCCAAGGCCCCAGTTCCACACTAATCTATCTCGACTCTAGAGCAGTGGTTCTCACCCTTCCTATTTCTGTGACCTTTTAATACAGTTCCTCATGTTGTGCTGACCCCAACCATAACATTATTTTCATTGCTACTTCATAACTCTCGTTTTGCTACTGTTATGAATTGTAATGTAAGTATCTGCAAGATATCTGATCTGTGACCCCCAAAGAGGCTGTAACCCACAGGTTGGGACCCACTGCTCTAAGGGGTCCCGAGAATATGTCATTCTTGACCTGATTAGTGTTTGGAATGGTCTTGAAGAAGTCATAGAACCAGCTCCCGACATGTAAGAACACACCTAAGTGAAAAGGAATACCTGAAACTGCCCAAAATGTCACAGATCTTACAGGATCCATTTCTGAATCATGAGGAAGTAACATAATCTTAATTGCTTTTTAAAATTTACAACTCATTCAGAAATGTTACCAGATGACATTGGTCCCTCAAGGGCAATGTCTGAGTATTTTAACTGTGTTTCTACGTCACTTCATCCAGTGCTGACATGTAATTATTCAACACTGCTGGACAGGTGGCTAACTTGACTGTTTGGCTTAATGAAGATTTCTCAACCTTGGTGACTATCATTTTCACTGAAATAACCTAGGTTTTGAGATAGTGACTTTAACCTGATGTACTCACAGCTTTTATGTCCTAGTTACCTGAGACAATCAGTGGCAGTATTTTCAGATCGTTAGAGTAGAAAAATTCCTGGTCAAGAAAATACACACCACCGGGTGTGGTGGCGCACACCTTTAATCTCAGCACTCAGGAGACAGAGGCAGGTGGATCTTTGAGTTCCAGGCCAGCCTGGTCTACAGAGTGAGTTCCAGGACAGACAGGGCTACACAGAGAAACCCTGTCTAAAAAGAAGAAGGAAAGGAAATATTCTGGCCTGGACGGAGACTCTAGCATTCCATTCCAGTTGGGCCTGGTCAATTACCTACACAAGGGGTCACCTCTAGGAACATGGACTCGCCTCTGGACAAGCTGAAGAGACAGGTGGAATAATCAGTCATTTCATGAGATTGTGTACTTTTCCTTCCCAGATTCCCTACTCAATGTAGCCTGCTGGACTACAGCCATATAGCTTTCTAAATCTGCCACTTTTCTGAATTGTTGAGAAAAATGTGTCTTTTTTTCCATTTCTCTTTTCTAAGCATGCTTTCTTAAAATTTTGTGTTTCCCCAACATTTCGGGTTTCCTTCCTCTTTCCTTAAAGTCTTCCTCCCAGCCAGATGGCTTCTGTTCCATGCCAACATGCCTCCATGCCAGCTGAAACTGCAAGCTATTTTTTCCCTCCTTCCATTCTCTAGGCAGCTGTTGAGATTACAGCTGTCCTGAAAACAAAACAAACACTAATAAACCACTGTCCTTGAGTCCATTCTTAAAACCTTTTATTAATGAAACCAAGAATGCCAAGAGGGGAGGACCCCAAGTCCCCTGTGTCAAGACTACCTAGAGAGCTGAGACAGTCCTTTTCTTTTTGTATCCAACGATAATATAAGCCTCAAGTCCTTAGAAACTTCACTAAGAGTTAAGGAATTCTGAATGAGATACTATTGGCTAAAGTCATATTTTTAAAAGTAAGTAGCATAGATCTACTTCTAGCCAATAAGAAGATGGATACCCATCATCTTAAGAACAGAATAATTTCAGGGCCCTCTGGAATTATGTGAATTTTGGTAATTTTGGGGGATTTAAATAATTTAAATAATTCTTTATCAAATTAATCCCCAAACTGGAAGACAGACAACATCAGTCTATATGGTTGCTATGGTGGTTAAAAATCTCAGGGCTAATTCTACTCTCACTGTGTCATTATCAATGGGAACAGCCTCCTATGGATATCCTGAGGATAAGAACCACTAAAATCTCCAGGTTTGGCTTAGAACAAGACACATTTTTGGCACTCACAAACTAAGATGAACTATTTTGCTTGAATTTCTGTGTAACCACTTCCTGGGACATTTCCAGTGTGAGAGTATATAAAAATGGTGGTACTTCTTCAGTGAAAGACAGAAGGCAGGAAGAAAGGAAGTTCCTATTAGACATATTATATTTGAGGTGGTAAAGCAGTGTCTAAAAAATTAATCAACACACTTATTAGAAACACAGGAAGGTCAGACGTGAGGAGACTGACTAGCCAGAAGCATGCATCTGAAAATCATTAGCAAGAAGAAGCCAGTGAGTCATGGTTGGAGGTACACTCTCAAGGAGCCACTAAGGAGACCAGCTGGGGTGGCGGTCACAGCTGTGAGGAATGGTTTTCACACAGAAAATCAGAAAAGGAAGGGAAACCATGCAGCCAGAAGGCTAACATCAGAGTACCATCTTGAGGAACATCAGTGATGAAGACACTGGCAATCATGTGGAAAGTGCAAGACCTGTAGGCCAAAGCCTTGTTAGGTGGCTCTGTCTGTCCTTTCCAGGTTTAACTCAATTACTGTAGGGATGGACTGGGGCAGCCTTAGCATCCACTGGAGCAGCAAAAGTCCCTTGCTTAGTGTTTTTAACTTTCCTTTGCGGGCAATCAGTCAGAATTCGGGATGCAGGAGAGTAAAAATGGAAAGTTGCTATTGGTTACTTTTCAAAACCAAAGGAAGGTCAGTGGGGCCCTCACAGGACCACAGGCACTGGGTTCACTCAGGCCTTCAATTCACTGACACTGCTGCCCGATCTTTCTTTCCAAGAGCAGCTTCAGGGCTGCAGGCGGGAAGGAGACATACTTCCCTCTCAGAATTGGTAATTGTGTTACTGATGAGGAAAATAGCTTTCGGAATTCTTGTAAATTAATTCTGCAAGTCTGAAATTGACTTACATATTTATTTTATATATTTGAACATATTTTAAGCACTAAAGCAATTTCTAAGAATAGTAGTAAGAGGGAAAAAATCTGGAGAAATGAACCAAAAACACAGCACGCAAATTAGTCTGCTTTGGAATACATCTGCATATAGTGTCCTGCAGTGGTATATTTTACAAAGGGAATTAAAGCCATGAAATTAACATTTTAATGAAGCAGACAGACTATTGACGTCAGGACCACTCACTGACTGCTGCTTCCAGGTGGCCTAATAAGATGAAAATGGAGTTTATACCTTCAGCTAGTCTAAGCTAGGGCAATTTGGAGATTATCACTGAATTTAAATTAGAAAATACTGCTGTGTGCAAACATGGTAGGCTAGTAAGTAGTCTTTGCAAACCTTGGCACTATTAATGCTTAATTTAAAAAACTAAACACACACACACACACACACACACACACACACACACACACACACCCCCCGAATTTTTTTCTAAAGCCCAGGGAAGTCAGTGCACTTTGAAAACATTATAGGCTTTATCTGCGTAACTCCTCCTATTGCGTAGAGGTCCAGGTCGGGTAAGAACTAAAAAGGGGGCGCTTGGAAGTTACCCAGACAACTTTCCACCTGCATGGACACTGCGAGGACACGGGGAGCAGCTTCTCCACTGCAGTCAGCACCAAGGCAAGAAACCGAAGGCTGCAATCTGTCCCCATCTCCAGGCTCTCACTCTTTAGTTTGTCCTAAAAAGAAGAGTATGCTATCCTTCAAGTGGTGAAGAGGGGTCGGTCAGTAAGGTGAAACCCATGGGTCACTTCTTCCTGTGTCTGCTGAGGAGCTTGTGCACTAAGAATAACTTTTTACTTTTCCTTTTAAATGATGAAATTCTCAGAATATTATGAAACATGAAGTTCAAGTTTCAACTTCAACAAATCGAGTTTCATAAAGACCTACTCATGTGTTCTCATTAGCACAGTTAACACAGCTGGAAAGCTAAGCACATGCCTGCACAGCCTAAAATATTTACTAACTGGCCCTTTACAGGAAAAGCTTGCCAGCATGATTTCTCCTAGCCTGTCCTCTGTGAAGTCACAGCTCCACAGAGCATGGAAAAGATTTACAGGGCTGGGGGGGGGGGTGGCGGCGGCAGCGCACGCCTTTAATCCCAGCACTCGGGAGGCAGAGCCAGGCAGATCTCTGTAAGTTCGAGGCCAGCCTGGGCTACCAAGTGAGTCCCAGGAAAGGCGCAAAGCTACACAGAGAAACCCTGTCTCAAAAAACCAAAAAAACCAAAAAAAAAAAAAAAAGATTTACAGATTACTTGAAGGATCCCAGTCTGACCTTGTCCCTTTTAAGAAATGACCCTCCTGGGCACATGTGCTTCCCCAGGGAGGAGAAAGGACCCACATTCCTTTATGGACTAGGATACGGAGCTACAGTAGAGCTACACACCAATTCTTTGTAAGGCTACTATTTAGCATTCACATTGTAATAGTTAGGTAAATATGGTGGAGAGTGAATAGCAATTGCATTTCTTTTCTGTCTCACTAATCTTTTTCCAAAAATTACAATTACCTCACTTTTCTCTCTGCCGAATTTTCTAGAGACCTGTCACGTGCTCATCCCCAAACCATCTGCTGAAGGTCCAAATCTCTTCCCAGGCACTCAAGCATCAGCTAACCCATCAGTCTCCCCGTCTTGGGGTCATTCTCTTTGGAGCCTTCTCTGCTCTACTGAACGGGGACCAGATCTGGCACCTGGTGTCAGGGCTCTTTTTCTTGTCCCCCACCCTGAGGACTCCTCTCTGTAAGCGTCCCTGTTATTGTTAAGATTATGTAGCCGCATCACACTAAGAAAGGTGTGAGGGATGTAAACCTAGAGTATTCTGAATGCTTAAATGCTGTTCTCTCAACTTGCTTGAAACTTAGGCTCTGTTCACTATGTTCAGAATTCTGAGCCCACTTTTCTTAGAAATGGAAGGATTTTCACTTTTTGGGGGGGCGGGCAATATTAGCTTGAGCAATGTAATGCCGCCCCAATGTGTGCTTTTCTGGAGCTTCTTACTTCTCCTTTGCAGAAAGAAGCTTTGAGCTTTGCTGGCAGAGCTCTAGTACCGGATGGACACTGCACTTTCTTACCGACATCCTTCCTTGGATCGTGCCTTGACCTAGAAACTTTTACCCTTAATTCAGCAGTTTCTTTGATCCTTTATTACCTATGGCAAAGTGCAAAGGCTGCAGCACTCAGAGCCTGTTTTAAGTATTTACTCTGGACCAGGACTGTTTCCTACATAAGTTCCCTCAGTATTTCGCGTTGTATATTAATGCTAACTTTCTTGTGTATTATTTGTTTCACGGAATGGATGGTCTCGATTCTCCTTTATAGATGAAATGGTAAAAAATCTGCCATCCAGATGAGGCAGGACATGCCCTGTCTGCCGACAGCCTGGGCACTGGAAATCAGATCATCTGCAGTACTGATGCAGCGCTGATGCAGCCTAGACTTGGTGACTCCCATTGCCGTTCGCTGAGCCCAGGGTAAAGCTCTAGGTAGCGGGTAAGTCCATCACCTCTCTGGTGGACACAGGAGCTACCTACTCTGTTTTAACCTCTCACTCGGGTCCCATAATTCCCTCGCCAATTTCTGTCATGGGGATGGACAGGACCCCCTTCCTTTCCACTTAAGACCCTGTACTTCCCTGCATTCTTGCAGGGCAATTCTTCTCACACTCTTCTAGTCATACCTGCTTGCCCTGTACCTCCACTTGGTTGTGATTGTCTCAGCCACTTTGGGGCCACACTCACCTTGGCCCCCCAACCTCTCCTAATTCCCACCTTCTTCTCCCCTTAATAGTCTCACAGGTTCCTACCCCAGACTGTCCTGTCCCTACCCTTCCTTATCCAGTGGACCCCCCTTAAGAAGCCCTCTTCCTTCCCAGATCCCAGTTTCCTATTTCTAAAACCCATCGCCGAGGCCTCAAGCCCATTATCACCTGCCTTTTATTTCAGGGACGTTAATTCCTATCGACTTGCCTTGCAACACCCCCATTCTTCCTGTGCCTTCTGGTGCTTACTGTTTAGTACAAGACCCCCGCCTCATGAACGAGGCAGTTATTCCAACACACCGGTGGTTAACAACTCATACAACCTCCTTTCTAACACCTCCCCCCCACACACACACACACACATACACACACAACTTCCCATTTTACTGTCCTGGACCTGAAAGATGCTTTTAGTTTTAACTGTCCCCCGGCACCCTGACTCATAATTCCTCTTTGCTCTCACCTGGGAGGACCCTGAAACGGGACTTCCAAGCAGCTAACATGGACTGTACTCCAATAGGGTTTCTGGGACAGCCTTCATTTCTTTGGCCAAGCCTTGGCTCAGGATCTTTCTACCTTTGACCCTGGTCCTAGCACACTCCTCCAATAAGGAATCAGTCATTTCAAGACACCAAACAAATTATCTGAAGGATAATCTGTATTATGTTCAACTCCACTGTAAATATCCCTGCCTCTCCATTAATGCAGACGCTTGGCTTCGGGACCAGGGTCAACGTTTACCTAATGAAAAGACCTCCACGGGGGCTGTCTCGTTCACCTTGGGCCGTGAAAAAGATCAATCCTTTATATAATGATCATTATCGAAGTGTGTATCAGAAGAGAGTGATGAGGTTAAGATTTTAAAATCCTCAATCATCCAAACACCCCAGGGTCTCGTGCCTTCCTGAAGCCAGTGACGGCAGCCCGTGCCTCGCTGTGGAGTGTGGAGGTGAAGAGTCTGAGTGACTGGATAGAAGAGCACGCCAGGACAGTGAGGTCCTCCGGCAGCAGCTCAGCTCTCAGAGATGCTGTGCGCACGCGAGAGGGCTGCAGTGCAACCAGGGCACGCTCCATTTCCTTCCTCCTGACAGGCTCCACTCTCCCAGTGGCCAGTCCCGTACACAGGGCCACCTATTCTTCCCCTGACAACCTGCCTTCTTGGCTTCCTTGAGAAACAGATCCCTGAGGTCTCCAGGGTGGGCAGTTAACCTAACACTTCTTCACCCGCACCTCTCACTGAGCATGAGCCCACTGACTCCCGACTCCCCCTCCCACATCATCCCATGCCAGCAGGAAGTACCCATATACCCCAAAAGGTTACAAAAGGTTAAGATGTTTAGCTGGGAATTCTGCTTCAGCCACCCCCACCCGGCAGACCCTCAGAAAGCACACCAAGCTGCAGCTCCTCAAGACCAAGCCTCCAGGGGATTTAAGCTACCTCCTGGAGAACTGCCACCTGGCTTTTCCTGGTCTCCTCTCCTGATCACATCCTTGGGGGCGGTCACATCTCTACCCCCACACCCCCCACGTAACACCTGGGTATGTTTTTGCCCAATAAACTTGGTCTTTTATTTTCAATTCGGCTTGAGTGGGCAGAAAGACTTACTACTGGGGCACGGAAACCCTTCGCAAAGGCCGGGAAAGCAGTATTGATCTTGTGGTTAGGAAGCAGCACTTGCAGACCGAAGCGCTGCTTCAGAAGAGTGGCCCAGGTAGAGAGCCATGAGGTTACACTTTCCGGTACCAGAATCCTTTTAGAGCTGCAGAAGCAAAGCCCGCATCAAATGTGTGTGAAAGCAGACACTGAGGAGAATCAAGGGCTGCGCCTCTGTGAAACACGGAGGCCCTGGCTTCGGAAAAGGTCAGCAGGTGCAGAGTCCCAGCTGTGTCCAGGGAGAAGTGTAGGGTGACCAGAGCCTCAGCTCCAAGCTGCGTTACTCAAAGACAGAGTCACAAGGGAACTTCTCGAAACCCTGTCTTTTCAGTTGCAATTCTTTGCACCCAGCACCGGACGCAGACTAGTCATGCAGTAGCACTAAGAGCCTGAACAGCTCGGCAACCAACGTGACCTTTCTTAAAGCCGTCTCGTCTCCTTGCCTGGTGCTCCCTATGAAAAGATCTTGCGGGGTCCACTGGGTCACCGGATGCTACATCCGTCCACCTAAATTCCTTTGAAGCAAAAGCTACATGGAGAGGGCGGGGAAAGGCCCGGTAACATGATTTTTGTATTGTTTCGTTTTGAAACTAAGTTTCTTCCATTTGTTTAGAGATTGTTTTTTAAATTTTATTTGTGTGCCTGTGTTTGTGTCGAGGTGTGCCACGTGTGTGGGTGGCCTTGAAGGCCAGAAGAGGGCGTTGGATCTACTGGTGCTAGACTTAGTGGCTTTGTGAGCCCCAGTGCTCACAAGTGAACCAGGTCCTCCGTAGGAGGAAAAAGTACTCTTTGACTGCTGAGCCATCTCTCCAGCACCCAGGAAGTTCCTTAAGTGACTCATTCCATCCCTTGCCATCGACATCATTCCTAAGAGATGAATTTTGGTGTTATCTCCCCATCTGACCTAGTCTCAACTATGTTTTAGTTTAAGTTTTGAAGTATATATAGTTTAACAATCATTTTATATTATATGCCAACTGCATGACTATAAAACACTTGAATCCAGTATTTATATCACTTTGTTGGTATGTCTCTGGCACTGTTTTAAAAACAGAAAGAAACTTTGCCAAATAACTTGAATGCTTTTGTTAATATGCATTATTTCCTGCATCTGTTAACCTTGAAGTGTGACACTTATACGGCTTAACTGGGATAAAGAATTTGTGCTGAACTAGTCACGTTCTATAAAAACAACATTGCTGTTAGTGCACTCAGCTCCCCCGGGTGGACCGAAATCTCCAGTCTTGATCTTAATGTTCACTGACCACAGGAAACACTAAACTGAGGAAAAGTCGGGGCTTTGCTTGGGTTGTCTCAGCACCTCAATAATTATGAGCATGCAGAGCAACCTGGTGTTGAAAAGCAGCCCAGAAATACAACAACAGCTCTCAGCATGTAGAAAATAGTTGGAAAGAGAAAGCATGCAACATTCGGACTTGGCATCCAAAACTGTAGGTTCTCTTTGGGGAAAGAATACAGATCTATTGTTTGAAGCCCTTGGTATAAATATCACCTTGACATAAATAAACCTAATGTGTGTGTATGTCTGGAGGGGGGGGGAACTACTGTATCTATTAAGTTCAGTAAAAGGAGCTGTGTACTGAAGGATACTGGCAAGAAATAGGGAGAAAGGGTGCATGTGGCTTTGGAAACCAAGGGAAATGTTTTAGCTAGGAAGAGGCACAACCCATCCAGAAGGGACTGAGAACCCAAGCTGAGCACAATGATTCTAAGACTCAAGGTTAGTGCTTGGCACTTACCTACACAAAATCAAGCCAGTCAACACTGCAGCATGGATAGGAGAGGCTCATGAGGCTCTACCCCTGGCTCAGGAGCTATTGGCATCTAATGGCTGTATTGTCTTAGGAAGTGTGGCAGGCCAGGCTGCCTATGTGCACAGGGGTAGTACTAAATGGACTGGGTGGTTTATAAAAAGGGAGAAAAGGACATAAAGGTGGGAGGGACACAGGTTGGGGGTAGGGATTGAGAGCTGAGATAAATATGATTAAGATGCATTATATATATATATATATATGTGTGTGTGTATATATATATGTGTGTATATATATATATATATATATATATATATATATATATATATATATATGGCTGACACTGTTCAAGAAGACGTTAAAAACCAACAAATGTTACCACAGCCATAGTAATATCAAATCAAGGTAACAGAAACAGGAAGTAGCATGAACAATGAATCTTATCCCTAAAGAAGACACACTAGCTTGTTCTTTAGTTTCATTTCGTATAAACTAGATTTTCAAATGTTGATTTTATTTTATTTTATTTTGGTTTTTCGAGGCAGGGTTTCTCTGTGTAACTTTGTGCCTTTCCTGGATCTCGCTCTGTAGACCAGGCTGGCCTCGAACTCACAAAGATCCGCCTGCCTCTGCCTCCCGAGTGCTGGGATTAAAGGCATGCGCCACAACCGCCCGGCCAAATGTTGATTTTAGAAATAACCATGAGATAAATTTACCAGGGATTTTTATAATAAAACATTGGCTGTCTTTTATCTATAAATTGAGTTTTGAAGGGCTCTATGAAGCCATGCTCCCTAAACCAGAATATACTGTTTCATCTGGTTTTAAATTATGAAAATCCTTTCACCTATAACACTCAACACCACGGGTGAGGAGCTCATTAACGTGGCTAACTGAGAAGAAGAGGAGCTACTATCCACGTCACACTCCTGAAGGAAAGTGCTGGTAGTGGGCTGGGCAGCAACAAGAGATTTCTGTTAATGAACAGATGGCTCTTCTTACTTCTAACAAATGAAATGACTGAATTTACCTAAACAAATGCTACTAAAATGTATGGAATGAAGTAAACAATCTTTTCTAAGTTTCATTCAATCTAATACTATGCTGGGTAACTCCTCCCTTCACAAATGAAATGATACATTTCAGCTCAGTTCTAGAAACGATGTAATTCATTTTGAATAATTAATAGAACTTTATAATACAGTAATATAACCAAGTTAGGAAAAAGATATGCTCTCTTATCAATTACTTTTTAGGATTCCATTCTGTCCTTACTGTTACATCAGTCTTTGTAAGGCACATGCTGGATATGGGGACAGGAGTAGAAACCAGAGTAGACAGTATCCACTTCGATCCCAGCAACAAGAGAAACAACCCTCACACCATGAATGGTCTGGGAGGAGAGACCACTTGTAGCCCAGACAAGTCTTGAACTTGTGGTCCTCTTGGTTTAGCCTCAGTTGAGATTACTGACTGGTACTGCCAGACCCCACTGAAAGAAACCATCTAAGAAAAGCATGAATCAAATCCAGTTTTCAAGGAGTATAGATAGATATCCATAGACTACTTGGGGCATTTCAGACAAAGAAAATCAAGATAGTGTGGTCCATTTTTAATTGTTCGTGTCTGCCTGTCATAGTCTGTGAACTCTATGCTAAGCAGTGAGGCAGGTCTATGATTCTTTTCTTTACTTTTTTTTAATCTGGGTACTTGCATGCGTGTGTATGTGTGATGCTGGTACTTAAACTTGGACAACAACAAAATATCTCTTTACCAGTTTTCAGAACATTCTAAATACACCACATAAATATAAAACAGTTGTTTATAACATCTATAGAGTGGTGAGCCAAGAATTAGAGAAACATGCTATCCTATTTAATGTGGCAAAAACAGTTCCAAAAGCCCTCTCATTTGTTTGCATTGAGATGTACACTATGAAGATTCACTTCTAGTGGTAGTGCTCACCCTTAATCTCAGCACTTGGCAGGCAGGCGGATCTCTGAGTTAGAGGCCAGCCTGGTCTCCAGAGTCAGTTCCAGGACAGTCAGGGCCACACAGAGAAACCCTGTTTCAAAAAGCAAAGCCAAGAGAAAAAAAAAAAAAAAAAAAAACACCTCAGAGTTCAGAAGCTGCAAACTGTTCGGAACCAGGAGGTGATGTTTTTAGGGACAATTTAAATGGTCCAGCACTGAGCTAAAGTCTTCATGTAGAAGTCACACCCCTGACAATCCTGGGAGGCAAACATCTTCATTTTACAGATTCAACAGGAATCATTTAGTAAGCTAATCACCATGTTTTCAATAGCTATAATATTTACATTTCCAAGTCGAGTTACAGGAACTGGTCCTTAAATTTTTTTTTTCTAAAAAACATGTAATTAATGTATTTTTCTTTTGTTTGGCAGAGGATGTACCACAACACAAGTATAGAAATCAGAGAACAACATGCAGGGGCTGGTTCCGTTCCTTCACTGTGTGAATTCCAGGGATGGAACTGGGGTTCTCACGCTCAGAGGCCTGAGCCGGTTGAACTGTTTCTACCAAGCCCTACTGAGAGAGTAGCACTCACGCACGCAGAACAAATTACATGTCCCTTGTCCAGTTTGCTTGTGAGACGAAGGACTGCAAAGCAGAAGAATATTTAGGACGTTAAACATCATTGCAGCTTTGAATCCTAAGTGGCTTTCCTGACAACCAAGAGGAAGCATATTAGCCTTGGCTGGTGATGACATGCTGGTTTATTAGCACTCACCTTTTAAAAATATGCTATGCGGCACTATCAACTGTCTAATGTCCTGCATACATGATCCACTGCCTCTGCTTTCTGTACGCTGCATATACTTTCATGTACTGAAACCTTTACTTAGCTTTGCCTATGTGCGAGATATCAGGTGCTGTGTCAAGTTTCCACCCCAAAGTAAGTATGTTCTGCTTTTGTATCCCACTCCTCCAGGCTCCTCTCCCCGGAATATGATTAGGCCTAGTTTCACACAGTAGTGGGTATAATTAGGTCACTGCTTCTTGGTGGGGCAAGTCTAACCTTCTACGCTAATCCACTAGACACTTTTAAAAAATGAAGTGCATTCTCTGTGCCACCCACCAAAGTGCTTTCAGTCAGAGAATAATGAAGCAGCTATTTTTACTCGGACATCAAAAGAAACCCATCAAAAAAATGCTAGTTACGAGTATTTTTAAGGTCAATGATAGAAGTTTAAAACGAAACAAATAGCTTCCAAAGAAATTTAAGTGACAGCCTCAAGTCACATCTTCTTCCCCACAAATGTTCCAGAATCACAAGTTTATGTGGGTGAAGTATGCACAAGAACCCCGATTCTTGGGGATGGAGAGATGGCTCAGCTAAGATTAAAGAGCACTTGATGCTCTTGCAGAGGGCCCAGGTTTGGTCCCCAGCACCCATGTGGCTGCTCACAACCGTCTGTAACTCTAGTTCCAGGTGGGCCAATGCCCTCTTCTGGACTCCACAAGCTCCTGCACATGACATAAACTCATGTAGGAGCAAATACATACACATAAAAAACAAAACAAAACCCTTTATTTTAAAAGATGAATCAGAAACCTGTAGACAAAGCAGTTTCCAAAACTCCTGTCAGATGACCCCAGTGTACCAGCAAAGCCTTTTGAAGGCACATGTCCCTGTGCCCTCTGGCTCATGAGAAGTCCTCACTACCATCTTCTTCCAAAGCAAAGTAACTGCACCAAGTAAAACTTAGGGCAGTCACCTGGAAGGTAGAAACAGGAGGAATCACATCTTGGATCCCAGGTTTTATTACCGGGACCTTTCACACATGGGGTGAAGGGCAAAAGAGAATCCTGGACCGTTACTTAAGTATCTGCCAAAGACGCTGGACACAGTAGCTAGCATGCACTTGCAATAAGCACTTGGCAGGCCAGGTGAGGGACCCTGATCTCCAGCCTGGCCTACAAAGCCTACCTCAAAATAACACAAGCTTGTGCTCTGTACCTAAGTACATCCGATGCTTTGATTCATAGAGATAAAGCAGACGCAATTGTGAATGAAACCATCCTGTTTGGACATGCATTTCTTGTTTTACTTACTTTAGAAAAAGAAACCCAGTGTACTACAGATTCCCTCCCCACATCCTTAAATACTTTAGTGCAGGCACTTAATATCAGATTTTAAGAGTAAATTTCTGTTGTTCGATCGACAAAGAATTTGTTACAGCAACCCTGAAATCCAATACGATTAACGACGAATTTACTTTGACAGTAATCTGGATGCTTTGGGAGAGACTCCAGAGTTCAAAGCCAAGATACATCTAGAGGAGGAAGGCTGCTGGCAAGGCTCAGGGTTCTGTTCCACCAGGTGTGGACCA